CTCCCCGGCTCCTCGGTGTCTCTGCGTCTGTCCCCAGACGTCCATCCCACATCTGCATCAACTCCCCCGACAAGGCCCAGAGAGGGGGAGGGTGTCAGCTGCCAGCACATCCTCGCCATTGCTTCCCGGCCATCCGGTCTTGGAGGCGAGGCCCCGGTGTCCCCACAGACCAGCCCTGGGCTCGGTCCTCGGGCTCAGGCCTCTGCTGAGCAGCCAGAGGGGCTCCTGGTGGGAGGCAGGCGGGGTCCCACTCTGCGCCGAGGGAGCTCATCTTTCTCCCCTGTGAGGTGGGGAAGCCTTCCAGGGGCTTCCCGCGGGCAAGGAGGGAACCACAAAGCACGCGCCCACCAGCACACACACCTGCCGGGTTAGGCCAGATACTGATCAATTCACCAGGACCCAGGTCAAAGCGAGGTGACCCCCCCCCACCCCGGGCAGCAGTGTGAGCAGGGCTTCCCGAGCCCCCCAGCCGGGAGGGTGACCCTGATCCGGAGGGTGGGGCATGAGGGATTTCCAGGCCCTCCCTGTGCATCTGTTGAGGGGCCCCCTGAGCCAACTCCACACCAGTGGGGAGGCGGAGGCACTGAGCATTCCCCCCACGGTGCCTGCCCCCGGCATCGTCTCTTGGCGGTTCTGATGACCCAGGGAGTGCAGGGACCACCGTGACAGCCCTGCTTCCTGAGGGTGGGTGCTCCAGTGTGTGGGTGCACACATCCCCGTTTTACAGATGTGGAGACTGAGGCTGAGGTCAGGCAGGGCTCGGGCAGATGCCCTGGGAGAGAAAGGCAGGAAAGGATGGTGGTACCAAACAGGTGACTGAAGACCTCAGGGTGCCCAGCCCAGGGCCCTCCCTGGACCAGACAGGGGAGGGGACATGTCCAAAGCTCTGGAGTAGTTGATGGCCAGGACTTGGTGAAGGACCGTGAAGGGTGGCCGCAGGCAGTGAGAGGGGTCACCGCGGCCTCTCAGGGTCTGACTGGGGACCGCTGGTAGCTGTGACCTTCCCGGGGCTGGGGAGCACAGGGTCCGTGAAGAGTCAGCACTGGGCGCACTGGCTGTGCGGTGCCTGTAGGCCTTCTGGGCGGAGAGGCCGGGGGGTGGCCGGACGTGGAGGGAAGTAGGGAGAGGTCAGGGCTGCAGGTGGAGGCTGGGCCCATG